CAAAATCTCGCACCTAATGTGGCTTAAATGGTCAAAAAGATGATCGTAGTTAGAAGAAATCACACATTGATCTTTCATGGAATCTTCATGCATACCATTCAATATTGGCTAGCAAGAGTCTACCTGATTTCAGAGGGTGTATATGAGTAGAGTAATAGTTATTTTTTAAAGTATTTATTTGTTTGTAAATATATTAATTTTTTTTATTAATATATTAAAATAATTTAAAAATATAAAAAATAATGTAAAATAAAAAATAAAATAAAATTCAAATTATTTCAAAAATACTTTTTAAAAGTAAAAATAAATGGGCTCTTAACCCCAACTTTATATTAAAAAGGTATTGTCAAACAACTATTTTTATCTAATAACTTAAGTTGTTATGTGAGTTTCATTTAATTTTTTATTAAATAAATAAAGATGATAATATTTTTATCTAATAACTTAAGTTGTTATCTGAGCTTCATTTAATTTTTTATTAAATAAATAAAGATGATAAAATTTAAATTCATAACCACTTAGTTATTAAAGTTCTGACATCATGTCAAAAAACCATCTCAACCTAATAATTTAAGTTATTAGATAAGATTTCAAGATATAATTTATATTATTTTTTAATAAATATCTCATAATATTTTAAAAATAACAATTATTTTTTATTTAATTTATCATTTATTATCTCACATGCATGATGATTTTCAATGTTGTTCGAATCTCGTTAATAAATAAAGAAAACAAATAGTCAAATGTTAAACATTTTATTCTTCTTCTTCTAATTAACTTCATTAACTTCATTTCGAGATCTTATCTTTGGATTTAATGTATAATTTGAAATTTATCTAACAATTGAGACGCTCATATATCCAATTTATATTAATTTTAAATATAATAAAAGAATGTGTTAATGTTATAAGTGCATTTTAGATATTATGATTTTTTTAATTAGAAACACAAAAATACTATTTATACTATAGTAGGATTTCAAGTCAATTTTTAAAATAAAAAAATTACATTATGTATTGTATTTTTTAATTGATAAATAAAAAAAAATATTATTTATGCTTTATAAAATAAAATAAAAAATATATAACTAGTCCAAGTTATACAAAGAGTTAGATCAAAAATTTTTTTAATGTAAAAACAATATTTATATCATGGAATTTTTTTTTTATATTATCGTTAAACCTAATTCAATAAATTAACATTAAAATCTCTTGTCTTGATTATTTACTTAAATCAAGTTTTAAATAAAATTATATAAATGGTGTTTTAGTATACTTTAGTAGGTTTAACGAGTTTAAAAATACCTTTGATAATATGTATAAATATGTAAATTGTAAAATAAATGTTAATTTTTATTTTCACAAAAGAAGCAAGTCCTGTGAAATTGTGAAAGGAATGACGTGGCGTTGATGTGGCAGGCTTCAATCGGAGAAAAAAAACTTGTAGACTACTCAACGCAACGATAACTACGTCTCCCTCGCTCGCCCCCTCTCCCCTCTCTAATTCCTGCTTTCTCTCTGTAGAAAAATTGCCTCTATTTAGAGAGATAAAGTCAGAGGAAGAGAAAGTCAATTCTATAGATATCGAAAAACAGAGAGACCCCGAGAACAGAAAAGATTACAGGAGCAGATGGATGCGATATTGAACAAAGTTGGGTCTTATTGGATCGGTCAGAAAGCTAACAAGGAGTTCAATTCTGTCGGCGACGACATCAATGTATTGTTTTTTCTTTTCCTTTTAATCTTGGGGTTCTTGAATTTTTTTTTAATGATTAATAAGTTCGATCTGCCGCATAAAGTTGTTTCCATTATTGATTAGGTTGTCATTTGAAAAGTAATTGTAATTGTAAGCGTAATGGTGGGATTAAGATAATGATTGTGAAAATAATTATCCGTTATGATTGAGAATCAGAAAAAAAGGAATTTGGGGTTTGTTTGGACATAAATTTATAGAAGAGATAAAGGTTTTGATTTTTACTAAAATAGATGAAGGGTTGTAGCTTTTGATGAGAATTCAAGATAGCTGAGTTGGTTTTGTTGAGGTTCTTATAATGCTGGAGATTGGGTGTTAATTGCTCTTAATTGTTTAATTTAAAGCTAAATAAATAATTGAAGATTGAAGAGCTAACCTTACTAGAGTTTTTATTTACCAATTGACTGCATGACTTGTATCATTGCGATCTTGAAATTACTACAGCTGAAATATTGGCTAAGGCTACTGAGTAGAAGTTGGACTTTGTGAAGGGTTAGATGATCTTGGATGTGTTAGAATTCTTTTAATGCTTTGCAGGATGAGATGGGATATGGGTTTTTATCAGGTTTTAGTTAGATATAGTGGAAGTGTTTTCCCCCCTTTTCTGCCTTAAGGTTGTGCCATAGTATAATTTCCTTTGCCCTTCATATAAATCATTCATCATACCAAATTATTGCCTTTTTCCTGTGAACTCTGCTGTAATTATCTCAGTTATTGCATTTTGCCTGCTGACATCTTTCTCTTATTTATCAGTCATTATCGACAAGCATTGAAGGAGGAACCAAATGGTTGGTGAACAAGCTCAAAGGTTTTGTTGATTTGCTTTCTTCTTCCTGTTTAGCGACATTGTATTGTTGTAGTTTGTCTGTTTTTCTACTTAATTCTTTCCAACCTTCCTACTTATGATTTTTAAATTCAATGTTTCTGCTGTTCTGTACTGCATTTGTGCTCAAACAAATGCTTTATAGTTCCGAGTTTCTTTTGGGATCCCAATGTCAAAAACTTTCCTATAGATTTAAATACAATTCCGTACCTTGGGAAGTACTGAAATTCTCTAATCATTTGGGACATCGAAGTTGGAGGCTATTTATTGCAATGAGAAATAAATTTGATTTTAAAGCTTGAATAGGATTTAGAAAGTTGTCAAAATGACATATATAATGTCAACATGAGTAAATTTGAGACTGTTCTGGTTAAAATGAATCATGTGCTGCTGGCTGAAGGGTAACCTAAAATTCTGCTGTGCTGTTGGTTAATCTTCTTGAGTTTTGAATAAGTCGGTTGAGTAAATTGAGTAGATCTCAGGAGAGTTTCCTGGAATAAGTTGCCAACCTGGAGCCAAACATCTAAATTGTGATATTTTGAAGACAAGCCCTTTTGATGAGACTGCTGATTTTGCAGCCATCTCCTGAATAGAACTTATAAATGCATCTTTCTTTGCTTCTATGTTCGTTAAGGGAATGACTCTGTTTATATAGGAAAAATGCAAAAGCCGTTACCAGATCTGCTTAAGGAGTATGACTTGCCAATTGGAATCTTTCCTCGTGATGCCACCAACTACGAGTTCAATGAAGAGACTCGGAAGCTTACTGTGTTTATTCCCTCTATCTGTGAAGTTGGCTACAAGGACTCATCTGTTGTGCGTTTTTCGACCACAGTAACTGCATTTTTGGAGCAAGGAAAACTAGCTGATATAGAGGGGATGAAGACTAAAGTGATGATCTGGGTTAAGGTGTCCTGTATTGTATCTGCTGGATCAAAGCTCAACTTCACAGCTGGGATGAAGAGAACCAGGGATAGAGGGGCTTATGAGGTTCTTCGAGATGGGGTGGGCGTAGATAAGTTCTGAAGTGATCATAATGCATCTGAAGTATTATATTTCTGCGAAATGCTACTCCCTCGTTATTGCTTCTAGACCCCCATGCCTTTGTCTACTGTTATTATAATGACTGAGCGAATTTAATTTCATTTTGTTTGTAGTTGTGATGCAGTGACTTTTCTATTTCCCATTGATTGATGATTATATCATCTGTGTTGATCTTAGACACCGTTACCTTCTATTTATTTTCTTCCTTTATCATTTCATCACAATTTGATGGAGCAAAGTTATTGTCAAAACTGAAAATGTCGCATTTAGAATGATAAATTTGATGATTGCTCGTTTCCCGTAACACCGAGCTTCACCTATTTGTAGCTTGTGAGCTAAGATATTAGTTATGGCAGATTGTAAGCTGAAATTAGCTTGAAACCCCTCCCCGAAACAAGGAGAGCGAAGGGGCTAAAAGGTATGTGAATATTATATATATACTTGTGGGCGCGACGCCGAGGATTAGTTTTGAATCAAAAGCTTTTTGAACACAGCTAGCATGTTGCAAGAGTTTTTCTATAGACTGCTGCAGCCGCGCATGCACTTGTGCTATACCCACACGCTTTTGACTGCACCAGCATCCCTGATCCTTGGAAAAACGGTCTTATAAGTAAAAGCTGAACCACAGATTTGGGTGCATTTCGTTTAAACATTTTTATTTTCCTTTGAAAGTCCAGCCTCCTGACAGGGGAGCTACCAGGAAGATGGCGTTTCTTAAGTTCTAACACTGATAATGAAGGCAAAACCCTCATCGCCATGATTCAATCCATTAAAAAAGGCAAAGAAGCTCATGACTATGAAGCAAGAATAACTTGGATATTTCTTAGGCTCATCAAGAGATCCAACAAATATTGGGATATACATAACGAAGTAGTTCTTCGCCCTTCGCTTTGCCAACAAGAATGACTGAAGTATATATTTTGCAATTTATTGTCCCTTTGAGAAAATTATTCTTTAGTCCTTTAAATTTCTAAATCTCCAAGTTCAAAGTGCATTGCAGGTTGGCATAAAAAATTGAGCCTGTAATGGAAAAAGGAGTTACAAATGCACCAGCCGGGAATCGAACCCGGGTCTGTACCGTGGCTGGGTACTATTCTACCACTAGACCACTGGTGCTTCTTGGAGCGAAAGCGCCTACACATATAAATTTTTAAAATACGATCAGAAGTCAGGCATAGAGAACATCCAAAATGGCAGCCATGCCATCGGATTTCTGATTACAGATTCTACCACTAGACCACTGGTGCTTCTTGCAGTGGAGACACTTATACATTTTAAAAATAGCATGGCTTCAGAAGTCAGAACATCCAAAATGGCAGCCATGCCATCAGATTTCTGATTACAAACTCCAAATTTGTATCCCCTAAATCTTTGAAACTGGAAATTTCAACATTCCATGCAAATGCTATACAGCAGGGAATAAAATCAACACATAATGAAAAGGATAAATTGATTTTTAGTACAACTGAATCTTCAAGACCCAATCTACATAATGTACATGTGAATTGGATTTCTTCATAACCTTGCCTGCCCTTTCAAAATCACTAGTGTTTAGGTATGGGGAAATTATGCTTATATTCCATCGGATTTCCATGGTTGTCTGATGCAATTTCTGGCGCTTGTCAGCTTGGTTGATTCGCCTGAAGATTCATTGGTTCAAAATTCCTTAGTTATCTGGGTTGCCATTGAGTCGGTGGAAGAAGTCTTTTGATGCTTCATAGGTAGACCAGCAAATTGCAGCAGCCGGAGCATGGAAGAGCATCCTAGGTATCCATCCCCTCATAAGCCCCTGGTATCCGTCCTTCTTCACGATAATCTTAATAACATGTCCGATTGAGCTACTAGAAAATCTATCACAGCCACAGACCCCCTGTGCAAGAAACAACAAACTTGGTGTTAAATCAGCTGGGCCTATCTGAATCTGCTTTCAACCTCTGATCAAATTCATTAATGTTTTCAAGTTCAGGATAAGATTTAATCAATTTAACACCCCAGTCAAGTCTAAAGAGAAGCTCTTTTCGTAGTCGTTCACGATTTCAACCTTGCACCAAATTCAATCCAAAACAACATTGATTTCTCAGTCTTTTTACCTATAAAACTGAACTTTACTTGCTAAGAACAGTAGAACCATGCCAGACGAAACACATAATACCAATTGCTGGCAGAATATGATCAAGCAATCTTGATTAATTCCTAAACCAAATTGATTGCTTCTATAGCTTATAACACAGCATCATTAATAAAAGGAAAAAGAAGAGCAAAGAAGCAAAGGTTTCTTTAAAGCAGTTAAGCACTAATCACAATAGCAATCGAAGCAAGAAGCTTTTTACCTGACACTGCAATTGCGTTTTAACAACGTCGAGAGGGGTAGTAACAATAGCAGCTAAAGCACCAGCAGCAGCACCAGCAGTAGCATGGACAACCAACCTCTCATCATCTGCAATATCCGGTGAAACCTCAATCAAACCCCTCTTCGCCGCCTCATAAGTGGCAAAGTGAACTGCCGTAAAAGGCGCATTCATAACCACAGTAGTCTTATACGAAGCATAGAACGCACCAATCCCTTCTTCAACAAGAACCCTCCTCACACAATCCACTACTCCTTTATACGGACTACTCTTCAACTGCAACCTCTGCTTCACCACATCCATCGGGGTAAAAACAGCATCACTCGCCACCGTAGCACAAACACCCGAAACCGCATGAGCAACAGAGTTATTCGGATCCCCACGAGAAAAAAACTGCTTGCAAAGCTCATAAACTGAAAAGTAAACAGCATGAGCAGGTCCTGCACCAAGTCCCATTGCACCAATACCTCTATAAAAACCAGCAGCGCCTTCATTTTTCATAATTGACTTACAAGCCTGCCGGACATTAACATTCTGAACCGGGTATGACCCGGAACCGACAATGGCTTGCATGCGGGTTTTCAGAGTGTCAACAGGGAACATAGCCATGTGCTCAATGGAACCAGCTATAGACCCGGCAACCATGAACTGCCAAAAGTGGAGACCGTCATGGGGATTTTCGGAAACCGAGAGTTCTGGTATCTCGGGGTGGAAATCAGTCGGGGCCCGGTATTTCGGGGAGACATCGGTCGTGGTGGTGGTGGTGGTGGCAGCCATTGATGTAGTAGTGAAAAAAGGACAAGGAGGAGGGTGTGTTAGAGTTAAAAAATAGTGGGAGATTTGTGAATGTGGTGAGCACGGCCATAGAGTTAGATTTTATTTAAGTAAATGGGTTGATGACAAGAGGAAAATATTCTCATAATTGGAAAGGGATGGAGTTGAAAATGATAGGAAAGAGCTTTCAATCCTTTATATCTTTTGGAGGGAAAGAAACGATCCAGCATTGAATTTATCCATGAGGGTTATTCATACACATATATAACCAAAAAACCCCAGGAGCATGGTTACAAAGTCTGGCTTGACTCGTGTCATTTGTTATATGGGCAAACATGAGTTGATTGATTTATTGTAAAATAATAATATTTTATTTAAAAAAATAAAAATGATATTTTTTAAAGTTAAATCTAGCCTCATCGGTTTTGATTGAATTAATTGAGATAAAAATTAACTAATTAGTTATACTAAATTTAATTAGATCAACTCTTACGTGGATTAATTAAAAACCCAAATTGAACTAATCTACTGGTGAGAAGTTAAGCAATCAAATTGATCAAATTTGATTAAATAAATTTCATGTGATTCAAACACTAAAATTCAAACTAAACCGAGTCGAATTTAAAACACTATTCAGGAGTGCTAAATTTTCCTATGTTGATTGTGAATCCTTGTAAACTTGTATAAGGAACTTTGTAAAAAAGTTAAATAAGAAGATTATAATTACAAAATATATTAAAAATAATAGACAATTCATAATGTGACATTTTTTTAATTTCATATACAATTTTTTTTTAATTGCAGCTTTCTATAACTAAATTAATAATCAATTTCTAGAAATTTGTTATGGAAAAAAAATCCCAGTAAAAAATAACCAAAATGTAAAATAAGAAGAAACCATATGGTTAATCTCAAAATTCATATAAAAAAATACTTTTAAGTTCACATATTTTCTCTTTTTTTCTTTTCAATCCCTATCTTTTTAGAATTTTAGTTTTGATCCAAAATTTCATTTTATTTATTTTTTTAGTATTGAATGTGTGAGAGGTGAGAGAAAGTTGTTGAGTTATGAAGAAAGAAAAAGTTGTTCACTGTCTATATTTTTATGATGATTTCAATGAGTTTTATTTAAAGAGAGAAGTTTCATTGAGATTTTTTAAATTTTTATCTTACTTGAAAAAATATATTAGGGTCAAGAGGGAAAAAATTATTTGTTTGATTTTGTGTTTGAACTATTTTGAGGTTTTTAGATCAATAAATTGATTTTTTTTTTAATGTTTTAAAGGTGTTTATTAAGAGTTCTTAGAGGAAAATGAGTTCAAAATAAATTTTTACAATAAAAAACAGTCATTGATTTTCTAGCTACCATTATAAAATCAATTTATATCTTTTAATGAAATTTCATGTTTGAAATTATTTCGAGTATAAAGATTGAATTTCTAATAGAATTTAATTTTTAAAGATTATACAAAAATAAATTAAAGTTCAATACCTTTAATTTACAATTCTAAAAAAATAACTTTAATATTAAAATTAACTTTTTCAAAATACTCATCTACAAAAACCAAACCTTTGAAGAAATAAGATGAAGCTAATAGAAATAATATATGAAACAAAGTAAATTGAATTCTATTTCTTTCAAATATATAAATATAACTTGTTTATAAATTAAATTCAAATTGAATAGTAAAATAAAATTTAATTACAACAGATAATTGTTCAAACAATCTATTAGAGTATTTAGTCAATATTTCATTTTCTCTTATTTAGTTAATATTTCATTTTCATCAAGAAGAGTTTGATAATTATCTTCCCACTTCTACAGCTCTACCACAAATAACAGTTTAATAATTCCAAGAGATTGATTTGATGGCGAAAATGTTCTTATTTCCTTGATTTTTAAAGCTTGAATTTCGAAGCAATCACCCAAATAATGTTTTCTTCAAACCCATCATCAAATCAACGTGAACAATGTACACCTAGAATTATTTAAAAAAAAAATCATATTGATTGATGCATATTCCATGATATTTTCTATTATTGAATAAAAAAATGTTTAATTATTATTCATATATAATTTTTTTTCCTCTGCCATAAAAAACCAATGGCTCTAAAATTAGCAAAGTATATCAAGAAGTATGAACAACTCTAACCCAGGACAGATACTTGAGCCTTTGGTGTTATATATACAAGTCAATTAAGGGAGAAGTGTGTTGTCCACAAGGCTGACCTGTAAGTTGATATCACCATATCCTTGGCAGCGTAGAGCCGCATAATGCAGCTCTATCACTATCATGATTTAGCCTTCTAATCAAGCATAAAGGCATATCCGGTAGAGAATGCATCTGCAACTTCTATCTCTTCGCCGTCGCGTGGTGACCATGAGTCTAGCTAAGGCAGCTATCATCAAAAGCAGTTGTTTCAACATCAGCAGAACCAGAGGCGCACACGCCAGCTAAGAAATTGACGTTGTGTTATTTGTCGCGATTTATATCGATAGGTCCCCTCTTACTCCATTATGATCTCTTGCTCTTTCGGACGGCTAGATTCCTTTTGTAGTTGATTTAACAGGCCTCTTCCTGTAGTGATGATAGAAACAAGCTTTCCCAATTTGTTCCTGATGATATCCTAGACCATGCGTCCTACCTGTTTTGTTCACCAAAAGTTATCCGTCCTTAACAATCTTGATAAAATGATTGAAACTAGAGAGGAAGATGCACAAGGAAAGTATTCCAGTGGGATATTATTGAAAGCATACTAAGACTTCGATGTTCCAATGTCCTGTTTTTATAGCGTAGGCAGAACTTAGGCAAATACTGTCAATGGCCATCTCAAAAGCTTCCAGGTAATAATCACCAAGTTGCTTCATGGTAATCAGAAATTTAGAGATTTCCTGGAAAGCATCAAGAGAATTTTCATGATTGATAGTGCCCCACTTGGATCTCGCCATTCATTCCATGTCAAATAGGATTTAGCAGCCAAATGTTCCACGTTTCAGAGACTGGGGGTTAGCCTGGAAAAAGAAAGGAAGAAAATTGAATATTGAAGACAGATAGGGCCAAGGCGATCAAGATCAGTAATTGCACAATGTTTTGCTAGCGATTGAATTATAAGAACAAAGATAGTTCAAGATTGCGTGGTAAATTATAAGAACAGAACATTAGTTGAGTATTAGTTCATCAACAGTACTAGCTCCAGAAGCAAAATATGCCACGGAAAATTCATAAATTCTAAGCAGCAGTTTGAGAAGCTTCAAGCCTCTTTAGGGCGCTCCTCGATGATGGACAACTTGATATCCTTTCCCTTGGGAAGAAAAAACCTGCAGTTCGATGCCTGTTTCAATGGTGAACATGTCGCCTAGGCGAGGGGCAAACTCATGGCCAGTGGCTTCTTGAATGTGGATTGTCTCAAAGCTTCCTTTGTGCTTCTCCCTGTTCTTGATTACTCCTTCCCCAGCAGCCTCTTTCACAACATTCCCGGCATCACACTTGGAGTCAATTATATTGTTGTTCTCCAAGTCAAGCTTGATGGTGTCTTTGGCCTTGATAATGAGGGTCTGGATATCATAGGAGTTCAAGTAAGGGATGCCTTCCTGCCCATACTGAACCGATTGGCCTTTGCAAAGCTTGAACTGTGCATTAAACAAGGTAAACCAACAAGTAACACAATATCTCACTCAAACACGTAGAAACACAAGTCTTTTTTTCCAGTAGACCTATAGGAGTGAAGACATAAGTGTACTTGCCCCACAGAACCCAAAAGGATATGTTTTATCTGTCCTGACCTTCCCATCAAGGGCACGTCTCTGCATCAAAATAGCAATGTCTTCTCTTTTGCCTTACTGATATGTTTTATCAGTCCAGACCTTCCCATCAAGGCCACGTCTCTGCATCAAAATAGCAATACCTTCTGTTTTGCCTTATTGATATGTTTTATCAGTCCAGACCTTCCCATCAAGGCCACGTCTCTGCATCAAAATAACTATGCCTTCACTTTTGCCTTACTCATTTGAAAGCGAAATGCACATCGGGAAGCCATAGCAGACCCCAATTATCATGAAACTAATGTTACACAGATGGGCGATAACGGGTTACTCTAGATACATAGGCGTGAGTTTGCGATAATTAGACGACGAGTTGCTTTAAATATATTATATGAATGGCCTAACAAATATATTTATAAACCAGTGAAATAAGTCTAAGTTTAAAAGGAGGTTTGATATTGCTAGTATAGAATAGCGGCTTAAAAGGATCATAATTTTTTATATGATTGTTAAGATTGCGCTAAAAATTTTAAAGGAATTTTCAAAAACCATTTCCCTTGGAGTAGATATTTTGACCGTCGGATCTTTAGATTTTCAAAATCTCGCTCTAGAATCCTGGTTTTGACAATTTTATGATTTTTCTTATTCTTTTTAGATTTTATACCTTTTTTCTTTGTAATTTTAGATTTTTATTTTATTTTCTAGTTGAGATAGGGTTTCTGACCTATTTAAAACTTTATAAACTTCCTAGAAGATGATTATTCAAGAGAATATAAAACCTGCAAACTTGAAATTCATATTTATAGTCCTTTTCGCTCATTAAATTTCCTGTGTTTTTTCTTTATTTATTGATGTCTTCAGCTTTCACTTCTATCATAATATTTATGAGCAAAACTTCTTTAATAAAAATTAAAGAAGAAGAAACTTAATTTGTTTGTGATAGCCAAAATAGACTGCCCTTGTCCCTAGAATATTTAGACCTTAATCTAGTACCATACAAAATCTTAGCTACTAACACGCACCATAATGTAAAATGACATGTTTTCAAAAAGTTAATATGACACTACACTCAATAATAGTTACCTACCTCTTTTACCAATCAATAATAAATGTTTATCTTTTCACTAATGGAAAATGCTTATCTTTTCACTATTGGCACAATGAGATACAATAATAGTTAACTTGTTTTTGTTGACTCATGAGCTACTTGTGAGGAAAATAATTATTATCTTTTATTACATTATTCTTTACAAAGTAAGTTGACATGACCAAAGTCTATAAATATCTTAGGTTACCATATAAATAAAAAATAACTACACAAGATACAACATCATATATAACATAAGTTCATATAAGAATAAGCATACACTCTTCTACGTTCTTCACTCTCCTTCATTTTCCTATACATTATTTCTTCTCC